AAACAGGTTAGCAAAGAAATGCTTTGCTAGCAGGAATCAAAGTTCTATGAGGGTTTTTTTGGCAGACACTCTGATCAAGAGCAACTTACAATTGAATCATATTAGAGATGTAGGTGAATGTAGCATCAGGAGTCCTGCCCAATAACTCTTTGCTTACTATTCCTGCTCTGCCAGGGACTCAAGGAACCAACTATGCCAAGCACTGGGTCATTACAACTCATTGAATTGCTTAGTAATTGTATGTCAAGGTCACTACAAGTCCAGTAGCCTTGATGTACTACTACAAGACAGTAAAGAAAATACTACAATCAAACACTGATGGTTTCTTCATTTGCGATGCTCTTGCCATGGAATAAACTATAATGTTCTTGTTTACGGACTTGCAGAATAAAAAAGTTACCTTCTTAAAAGCTAAAGTATTGCAAAATTTCACCAGCATATAGTAAGATACAGGACTGCAGTGAAATGTCTTGATGGGTCATTTTAACTTTGCTATAATTTTGATTTCTGATACACTGAAATAAAGGTTCTGTGCAGGTACACTTTTTGTTTATCAAGGTAAAAACAGTGTAAATGTTCCCTCAAAAGTACAACAGTGGTTTTGAGGTCCAACTGTGTACCTTAAGTAAGTTTTTCCTAAGTGAAAAGTATGTATTTGTACATATTCACAACCTAATGTTTTAAAACAGAACAATAAAATAAAAATCCTGGGGATGAGACAGGGTGGGTGGAGTCAATACAACTTAGACAATACCATTTCAAAGGATTATGGTACAATTATGCTCCCTGACTAAAGGTACTGAGATGTACCCTTGAGGGTACCACCCCAGTGACAAGAGGGGTACTGCCCCAGTGACAGTTTCGTACCCACACCTATACTCTTTTTTTTCTGAGAGTGTAGATGTGGGTAACACAGTGTTTTTGATATTGTGATAAATTGTCACAATATGCTCTTAAAGAGTATCATCAGTATTTCCACAAAACTAAACTTTGTGTATCATACAAAAAGACCAATTTGGACCAATTATATTGAGCCTGTATCTAAATGAGCTGCATGTAAGGAAGTAGGCAATGCTCTTCTGCTGGCGCATGTTGCCCATGTCAACTTGTTTTAAAAGAAATATGAAGCAATGCGATATATATCATGTATCATGAAGATGTCCTAAATCACTGAGGTGTTTTTACAATTTTTGTTTTTTGTACTATGTTTACTTTTTTTTTTAACCATATTGCCCACCATTAAACTCTGATGTGCCATGCTGTAGGCTACTTATGACAATTAGCAGATGAAATAACTTGTGCAAGAAATCAAAATCCTGCTAGCATAAGTCACCCTTCAAAGGAGACGGGACGAGTGCCTGAGCGAACTGCCTAACTGCTGTGGGTAGAGCTAACTGCACTCTTTCTTGCCTGTAATTGCATAACTTACATTTTCTACATTGTGCTCAATGAGGCATCCAGTCGAATCACTTATAAAGCAGGTTCCTGATGAGAATCAGGTGAATGTGGTAGTCACCTAGCTTATGACCTTCATCAAGGTTAGAACCTGTACTGTCCTTTCACTCTGCCTTCTCAAGCTGGTGCTACTGCTGCTAATGAAGCATATATGAGTGACAAACCCCATGTGTGCCTGTAGGTTGTAATTCACATCATGAGTAGCTGAAGAGCTTCTCCTGGTCGACTAATGATGTCTTGTTAATGTTGATGGAATCCTCTGTTTTGGAAGTTATCGTCGGCCTACAGCGAATGGGAAGTACTACGGCGGAATATCTGCCGAGATGCTATCAAGCGCAAGGCAGAAACAGCTAGCATGGAGAGTCCGAAGTGAAATGGCAGTTGTTCTTCAGGGATCAGTGGGCTGAGCAGGGCTGCTCCCCCCCGAGACTGCCATTTTCTTCCAGGAATTCACAGGAGTGGAAGATGAAAGCCTTGTGTCACCAGCTCACCCCAAAACACCCAGCCCTAAGTGCCTTGGCCAGCGCCACAACAAGTACAAGGCCAGGCAAACAGGGCAGCCATCTTAGTCTGCTCTGTTTCATAATGGCAGAGATTTATACACATCTGCTCTGGTGTTTCAAACAGTACAGCGACTGATTTGTTGGTTTGATGAGTGTTGTGTCATGTTTTCATCAGGGTTTCACTTTTAATTAGGAATTTCTTGCTTTACTCATAGATAAGTCATGCTTTGTTGCTGTTGGGACAACACCTAATGACTCAAAAGTAGTATGTTAACAGGAGGGGGGGAAAGCATTCTTAAGTTCTGATGGAAGTTAGTGTAAAAAAGATTGTTTTCCAAGAAATTTTGGACCATTTCCAGAGCTCCATTTGGTGTTAATTTTTTACACAATGTACAGAACAGGTCCTGTAAAAAAAACGAAAACTGACAAAAATGGATGTATAAGGTTTTTGTCTCAATAGTGATGACTTTGGAGAGTTTTGGGACTAACTAGTACAAAACCAAAATCAAGTTTGTATCTTTTTAGACTCTGTAGGTACATTTTTTAAGTGAATTAGGTTATTTGAAGAATTATTGATAATATATTCTTGACTATGCAGTTGTATTTATTTTTAATTATGTGCATTTCTTATAAAGGGAAAAAATGAGAGAATTAAAATTAAGATTGCAGGGAGAAAGTGGTCACAGACAAGAAATACTTTAATTAAATATTGTGTAAAATGAACATCTTTGTACAGTAAAATGTAGAAATGTTGACATAAACATAAAAAAATGTATACATGAAACAAAAATAGTATTTTCCCTTACAGAGTCGTTCTACCATTTAGTGAACTCTTCAGACTAACGGCAACAAAACACTTTAGTGCATGGTCTAATTAGCCTAAAACACAAAAAACCAGATTGCAGAAATGATGATATTCACAAATGCACTTCATGTAACCTTGGGTTCCTCTCACTTTCAAGGTGACTTCCCCAGCTCCTCCACTTAGCTAAGCTTTGTTGAGCTATCACAAAGCAAATGCATTGCACATTCATCACTTATTCCCTTCTACAGCTGCCCTTGCTTCCTGCTGCTAAAGGAAACTTGTGTGCAGATTGCCAAGAGGGAACATCCCTTTTGGTTTGAAACAGACTACTTAGCAGTACAACAGGAGATTTACAAAGTGTTAAGTGCAAAGGAAATAAAAGATAAAAAATATGAATAGAAATAATCGTGTTTTATCCGCTGATTTTGGCACAACTAGGAAATCAAAATCAGAGAGAGAGATGGCGAAGGGATGATGTGAACTGATTTACTACTGTGATTAGCTACTGTGCTACTGTATCATGGAGTAATTACAAAATGGCATGTACAATATAGAACATCTTAATCCTGGATCTTCATATATGATACAAAAATCTAACCTTTTATTTATTTTTTTTTCTTCCCTTGGATTTTGAGTCTTACTTGAGGGAGTACAGCAAATTTTATGTAAAAAAAAAAGAAAAGGAAAAAAAAGAAATTGACAAAATAGTCAAAAAGATGAGGGGTCACAATAATTCTTTTTTATTTTAGTAAAAAATGCTTGTGCTTTTTACACCATTGATCATTTGAATGGAGTAATGATTGGCATTGTGGTTTATGGTTGTCATTAAAACAGCAGAAAAGGTTACTCTCGAGAGACTCACTCTGAAGGCTTTGACAGAGCTTTTTTTCTGACATATTTTAATAAACATTAGTGACTGACGTACGTATGTTTCCATTCCAGATTTTTTTTTCCTTTTTTCCTTTTTTTTTCTTTTTTCCTTTTGTCTTTTTGTTCCCTGTAAACACAGTTGAGCTATGATGTGGCAAAGTCATGGGTGGCAGGTAAAAATGACTGTTTACATTCTACAAAAAACAAAATTTACAACCACAATTGAATCTTCCCCCCTGGGGCTGCTTGACATGCACGTTTTTCTACTAATATTATTACAGCCATGTGACACAAACAATTTATTTGACTATACAACAAACAGTTTTTATTCCAAAACAAAAGTATCTGTTTAGATAACTTAAAAATTAATATAAAAATAAACAATGGATTTGACTGGTTCCTCAAAACAACAAGTAATGAACAAGCAAAAAAAAAGAAAAAAAAATGGACGGAATTGTTTCAATGGCGTAACAAAACATCAGAATTACAAATAAATGTAGAGACGTTGCGATCTATTGATACAAATAAAAAAAGCGAATGGGTCTTGGCATAACTTTCTGTGTTGCATCACGATATCGGCCATGATAAACATTACATACGAGATCAAATAAAATGATGGAAAGCAATATACAAAATTTCAAAGATAAATACAATATTTATAATTGATATGTTACAAAAAACCCCTTAGTGACCGCAAGTGTTTGTGTGAAAGTGTTGCAATGTATAAGACTATTTTACTCCTAGCTGTTTTAGTAGGAATAAAACTCTGTACTAAATATTTAAGTGGATCTGGAAAATTCAAGACAAGTGTATAAATATTTAGCTACAACTTTGGCAAAATCACAAAAGTCTACAATTGTATAACCACATACAAAACACATTAGGGAATAAGGAGCTAGAAGTAAAAGGACAACTTTCTGGTACAAGAAACAGACTCCACAGTAGCCTAAGAATGCAATAGTATACAGTGCTAGCAAAAAGTTGAAAAACATTGCAGATCACACTTGCTTTACAGGAAGCTTTAGCAGTGGAAGTATTTTCTTTCTTTCTTTTTTCTTTTTTTCTCTTTTTTAACCAACAGACAGTGGCGTTTCATCTCTGTTAGTGTGCTTGTTGAAGGCAAGAGAAGAATCTTTGCAATATCAAAGTTACAATTTCTACCTACAATAAGTTACAAAGTTCATTTTAGATGAAGTATGCATGATATCTCCTCTGCCTGTTCCTCCCCGGTCATTCTTATTCACTTTTAATGTTTATGCTTCATAAATCATATATTTTAGGCTATATTATTTCCAGTTTGTTGGCTCTGCTGTGTTGGCTTGGCCCCCTTTTTTCTCACCACAAATTAAAACAGGAAAAAAGCGAACGCAAAAAATAATGAAAATGACTTCACATTATAGAGATGTGCGACGGCTGCGCATCGTTTGAAAAGAAACATTCAGAGACATTTCAGTCAGTGTTTTCATCAAATGGCATATCCACAAAGTTTCTCCCCACACATAGCAAGAACTAGACATAGCCAAGATCAAACCAGAAATGTTTATACAAAATAGGCTTTTTTTCTTCCATGTTTTTTTCAAGACTGAGAAATGTGAAAATATGACAAGAAATTCAGTCAATAAAATTAAATCGTTCATGACAAAGTTTCTTGCATGTCAATTTATATTAGTTTGAATAAAATCTTTGAAACAAAGTCTCTCTCTTTTTTTTTCTTTTTTTTTTCCTCTGATTTAGACTTGATTTACTTCATGATCGACGACACAGATTCCAGGAGAATGTTCTGTGATGTACCCCGAGGCTCATCTCGTGGACGTTGCTGCTTTACAAGAAGTGGAAGTGCAATCTACATGGGAGGGACCACCAGTCCGGACATAGCTAGGGAGAGAGAGAGAGTGAGAGAGAAAGGAACAAGAAATTTTAGCACCAGATATCCCTCGATATCACATGGAGGACAAAGAAAGCACACAGCACAAAAGTATGTCACTTGCATTTCACAAAACACTCTGACTGACGAGGCTTGGCGCAGTCGATGAAAGTGCGAGATGTGTTTGTAAGGCTGTGGCGCTGAGCCGGAGATGGGGGCCAAAGGGGTCTGGTGGAGTTGGAGGGGTAGGGGTGGGCATTTGCGTGTATGTACTTTTTCCAACAAGACAAGTCAGAAAGCCTTCAACATTTTAAAGAAGGAGCTTTCTGACATTTTCGAGGAGAAAGTATCCCCACTCCCACATGTGTGAGATTTCTCTTAGCGTTTTGTTAATGGCCATCAGAGGGTCCAGACTCCCCGGGGAACGGCCATGCTGACAGCTGAGAAACAACACGGTCACTTCAGCTATCATCACACAGCTGAATCGTCCACTTCCTGGCCAGCCTGCAGACTCCACTTAGATTTTATATGTGTGTACATATATATATATATATATATATATATATATATATATATATATATATATATAAATAGATAGATATATAAATAGATAGATAGATAGATAGATGCGTGTGAGCCTTTAAAAAGTTTAAGTAGGTTTGTGAAAATCATGAAAGGCCCATGTAGCCTTATAAATGGTGCTCTTTAGTAAACTGTTAAATGCAGTGTATGTCATTTTCTAAGTGCTTTGACTGAAAGAGCTGTTTAAAATACTAAATAATGAATAACAATTATTATTATTTTTTTTTCTGAAAGGTTGTTTTCTGTCTGATTAACCTTTACTTACAATACTTTGTAAGGGCCTCTTATTGTAATTTTAAGAAATTAGAACAAAATTTTATTTTAAAAAGTTTATTTTATTTATAAAGACTTTAATACCATTGTACACTGTGGTATATTTGGAAAACATCATGATATTAAATCGTATCAGTACAGTCTTGCTTCAGTCTGAAGAATCAGAAAGTCAGAAAGCCATTAAAGCCCTGCTGTGCTGAAATGAGAAGACCAAGACTGATGAACTCCACTCATTTCCACAATTAGGTGGCTAGTGAACTGCCAGCTTTTTTTATTTTTTCCAAAACAACCCACATCCTTTAGCTACTTTCAACTTATTTGTAGAGTCATGGTTGAAGTGCTTTTAAGTTTGCCAAAGCGCCCGATGCCATGGCATTCCTCATTAATTTCTGCAAACCACATATTAATAAGTGGATGCATGTAGCAGCATGAACTTTAATTTCCCAGTTCATTAGCTCTAACATTATTAATCTTGGATGCACACACTATGGCTCAAACATGTTTTCAAAGCAAACAAGTCGGCCTTGACGAAGAGCAAATATGAGCGCACTTAGCAGGCTCGGGAAGTCGTTAATTTGCTGAATGACGCTGTCCTGCCGAGGACTCGAAAGAGTAGGCTGAGCACTTGCTCCCATTTCTGTTATCGCATTCAGAGTGGCTTCTGAACATGCCATGTTTGTCAAAACAATGTCTTACTCTGCTGGTGTGGGAAGCCAAAGCTCAGTGCCTCGGTATGAAATCTTAATGCCTTTGCCTTGTAAGAGCCACCGTTTTCGTAACTACTGTAGAATAGCATGAATTTTTAACTGGCTACAATATTCATAGGAATCAGGGGAACTTTGACACGTGTGCGCTTTCTCACAGCTGAGAACACGGTGATCTTTTATCCGGGATCCATTATAATCATGTGCCAGACGTACACAGCCTGTGTTCGTCCCTGACCTCAGCGTGCCCGGTGGGGTCAGTTAAAGGAAGTGGGGGTCTGTGAATATTAAAAAATGCAATGTTCAATTCAGATGAAATGTAAAAGATGGCGGTGAATAATGCATTAGTAGAATGACCATGGCATTTTAAGCGATTTGTTTGTGCTAAGGCGTCCTCAGATTGGGCTGTGCTATCGATTTGAACCAAACTTTTCCTGCCACCGAAGGACACCTCTTCGACTGTGCCAAACCTTCCGCAAGTCAGAGTGAGGAGCGCAACTCTCGGGAGACGTTTGACTCCCCTCAATCATTAATGTTAGATAAATAAATCAATACATAAAGCCACACATGCGCATTCATGCTACGTGCCCGCATGCATAATGTTTTCGTTCCAAACGCATCCATCCGTCTATTCATTCACCCGTCCACAAATCAAGCCATCCACACACAGATACATAATTCATACACAAGCCAGCCATGTTGGAGAACAGCAGCATGGTGGTGGGTAAAAGTGAATGGGGCAGCTTCTCTGGGAGCCAGAGAGAAAGATTAGCGTGAGCCAACAGGTGAGGCGGCTGTGCGGCATCATAAAAGGAGGGAGGCGGCTCTCACCTTGAAGTCCATTGCCATTTGCACTGGTGCAAGAAGGAGGTGGAGATGCTTGGGGCCTGACAACGGGGGCAAAGGCGCTCTTTTGTTTCACTGCAGAGATGACATTGGCAGGTGAGAATGAGAAAATGCCGTGTGTACTGCTACAGTTTGAAGAGAGGCTGACCGAAGAGGCTGCCATGGTAGGGCTCGATGGAACTACTGCAATAAAGCAAACATAGTCACCACTCAGAGAGAGTTTCACTTTTTTTCGCTTATTTATTTAGTTATTTAGTTATTTATTTTGTTTTTTTACGCATAGACGAGAGTCAGGGAGAGCCAGGCCTCGCCTCTTTTTCAAATCATAATCACGGAATGAAAACAAATGAGGGAGGAAATGATTATGAGGGTATGGTCAGAATTTAGTGAGGGTGTGTGGGTTTTTCTCTTTTTTTGCTGGTAAAAAAAAAACAAATAGAAAAATGAGAGAAATCATTGGATAAACTGAAAAAAAGGGTTGGAATGGAAAACGTGATGTCCTGCCTCGGCCACTTTCTGGATAATAGGTGTTTTTATCGACTCTGACTTGATAAAACAGAAAGGAATTTGAGGGAGTGTTTTGAATTGTTTGAGAGCTGTAATTTTTTGTTGTTGTTGTTGTTTTGTCGGTGGCCTGCTCGGTTGAGTGTAAATTTTTGTCTTTTTTTTTGTTGCTCTATGATTTGATTGGTTGGATTGCTATGTGGCTTGTTTCGGGTGTTCAGCCTCCAGAGTCACCCCTCCTTTTATCCAGTAGCACACATTCCCAAAAGAATAAACCAAAAAACAAACAAACACAAACAAACAAACAAACAAACAAACAACAACAGAGGAGTGTCAAAAAGGAAGGAGAGCACAGGTGGGGGAGACAGAGAGAGCGGAGGGGAGGGGTAATTACCTTGATACTTACTGCCGTAGGGGGAGTTGGCGGAGGAGCCGTTGAGGAATCCCGGTGAGCTGGGGACGCCCAGGTTGGGCATGCCTGCGTTTCCGTAGCCGTTCATGCTGTTGCTGACGGTGTTGTAGTTGGACTGCTGTGGGGTGCTGCTGGGGACATAGCCGCGAGGGGACACACTGCTTGTGTTACGACTGTAGCCAACTGCAGATGAGAAACATGCGGTAAAGTTGGCATTTCTGAACCAAGTAACCAAGAGGATACAGATCACTTTTTCACACAGGCCTAACGAATGCATGTAGGTGCCATCTCCTGTCCACTGTGTGAGTGTGTATATATATATATATATATATATGTATATATGTATATATATATATATATATATGTATATATATATATATAGTATGCCAAAAAAGTTTCGAAGTGACACTAAATTTGAAAAAATAACAATAAAAATGTTGTCCTATTCAAGTCATAATGCACAGTATTTTATTAGAACAATATCATTTCACTAAATATGTGCAGACTAACTGATTTTTAATTAGTTTTGCTCCTGGTGATTATCATACAGAGTTTTATTGCAGCCCTAATCAGATCCACCTGATTCTCACATTCCCACATCCTGAAGCCTTGATGAACCGAATCAGGTGTGTTACATTATGAGTTTGTAAATAATTCAAATCTATTTGATGTAAGTGCCTGTTCAAACAAACACCATGAAGGCTTTTGTATATATGCTAGAATGAGAGTACATCACTGCAAATCAATAGAACATTTCTCTAAAACCATCTTTGGTTAAACTACATGCTGATAAACATGCCACGCTGTGTTAGCTGTAGGAAAATTGACTTACTGTAAAATATTTTCAAAATGCTAAGACATTCCTTCTTGCTTCTATACGCTGGAACACTGGTGTAACTCTGTATGAACTCCTATGTCCCTTTAACTGTGCTTGCTACCAGCTTGCACTTTCATGACCAGAATATTCTACATCTTGTGTCACTATGCTTAGCCTGTGCCCTGACCTGCACATTAGCAACAACAGAACAGGTGTAAAGCCATTATCAGCAGTCTGAGTAAATGCAGAATGCACCAGCAGGCTGGCAAGGGGGGTGGGGGGTGGGGGGTTGGGGGGGACAGGGTCAGGCACCTCCAGGGACCCACACTACACTCAGCCAGGGAAGATAAAGCTGCAGCAGTACTGTGCCACTTTCAATAATGCTAGCATTTGCTAATATGCTAGCCTTGTATGTTTCATTAGCAGTGTATTTGGCATAGCTAGCTAGCACATGGATAAATATTTGGCTTCCTTCTATTACAGCTAGCTGTTGCTAATGTTAGCTGTTAGCTAGCCGTCCTAAAGAGTGTACAGGTGTGTTCCGGAAGACAAATATTCACAGATAAATGCAAAAGATTATTAGTAATGTATTTCACATAGCTCGCACATTTAGCATCAGGACTGTGAACGTTAAAAAGTAAAATTATTTTATTAGAAGTTACTATTTTGTTGTTGTTGTTGTTGTTGCAGCTTATCTTCACACATGGCCACATACCCTGGTCATTACCCTGTGAAGTCTCGGAGACGTTGACTGCCAGCTGGCTGCCGAATGAGTTGACTCCCATCATGCCGCCATGAGACGCAGTGTTAGCGAGAGATGGGATTTGGTTGTGGTTGCGTGGTACGCTGTACAGAGCCTCAGCAATGTCCGCCGCCCGCTTCAGAATGATCTCCTGCAGGACAAAAGGGACACACAAAAAGGCTTAACATTCTCTCTGCTTCAATATTAAGTCAAATGTGACTACAACATGTACACTTGGGCTTTTTTTTTTTTACAATGGTATATCTTTTCTTTCTTTTTTTTTTCTTTTCAGTTGTGATGTGAGTGGATTATAAAATGTTTGCCTCTGCGCACCCAAACTGCTGAAGAACAAGACCATGGATCATTGCTTTTGAATATGTATTAGACCTCTCAACCACATCTGCAAAGCACCGCTTTATACAACGTGTTTGAGAAACGCGCCTTTTGGGCCGAGTTCAAGGTTATTCTTCCATTTAAATAAACCACTCTGCGTGTGAGAGTGTGCATGTGCGCGCGAGTGTGCGTTGCGAGTGATTAACTCCTCTCTCTGCTCCATGAGCAGCAACCACAAATAAAAGTGAGAGAAAAGAGAAAGGAAAAAAAATACTCTTGGTGCAATGACACCCTGCTACAGTACAATGGCCTGCAGCTAGCTTTGAAATGTACAAAGAGGAGCATAGCAGGGGGAGAGAGGCACTGATTTAATTACAGCCACTGTACAGAGAGAGAGAGGGCGAGAGAGGGTGAGAGAGAGAGAGAGAGAGAGAGAGAGAGAGAGAGAGAGAGTTCATTAGCGTGTACATTAAGGTATTTTACCTGGTTGTTGTGGGGCATTCCATACAGAGCCTCCACAAGGTCAGCTGCTCTCTTTAGTAGAACCTCCTACAATACAAATGCACACAAACACCCTAATTAGTCACAGACAAATGCAAAGACCCATATTACTACATGCTATATTATTTATGTGGGTTTATGTAAATTCGTTTGCACTGTATAAATGCTGAATTTACTTAGGTTATAAGTGAGGTTGTGAATATTTGACTAACATTTGATCAACAATAGCATGTTTCGCTATAATAGAAGAAATTAGCAGGGATGCCCATGGACCCACTTCTTTTCTCATGCCAAAGCAAGTGAAGTGGTGTGCAACCTCCAAGCAAAAATGAAAAAAGGGGAAAAATAAGCACTAGAGGTTTTAACGCTGCGGCCTTTTGGGTATTAAACAAACAAACACACGCGAGCGCGCCGCCGCACGATACGTAAAGCGCAGGAGCCGCATTCGGCTGCTAAATCCACCCACTTTAGCGCCAAAGAACAATGAGTCATTTTCCATATCTTAATTAAACTGGCAGAGTCCTCAAAGACAACATCTCACCCTTTAATTCATGCCCCAAATTTGTAGTGGAGTTCAATGCCCATTCCTCTTTCTTCGGAACAATAAAGTGAATTAGCTCGGGTTAATCTAGTTCTTTCATAATGACATTAGGAAATTTTTCAATTAACCTCTTTCAGTGGCTGTTGTAAAGGACTTCATAAATGAGTTCCCTCGCAGCGCTGCCTGAGAGGCTGCGTCCTGGGACCCGATGCCCACAACCCTGTCTTATCCATGTCTGCATGCCTCCCCCTACTTATAGCACAACACGGATTAACTTTCTGCTTAGCTTCCCTTCAAAAATTACACCCAGTCTGCCAACAAGCTTCGCAAGCTGCTCCAGGACGTCTCGCTTGGCTTGTCCTATTGTTTTTCTCTCTCTCTTTTTTTTTGTTGTTGCTCTTCTCTTCAAGTGGCAACACTAGAGCTCTGTGTGTTGTCTTAAGGTGATCAGTTAAATGATTAATAAGACTTAAATGAAAAGAAAATGTGTTTTGTCGTGATATCTCACTTGAGCCCTGCTATGTAACACTGATAGAGCCATGCTATAAGCTTGTCATAGCAAACATGTGCTGTCATGAGTTTTCGTTCAGTTATATAATAGTGTCATGTCACCATTATCGGTAATTAATGTTTCATGGCATAACAGATCATGTCACCTACTAAGTCTACAGTAGGTAGCCATCCTCAAACATTAAAACATTCATGACATTTAACAGCAAGGGTAAATATGACACTGTTGTGGACAGCTCATGACAACATTAGTCCATTACATGTTTATGCCGTTGGTACCTCAATGTAATGTAGCAGAGCTCTAGATAGTGTTACCAGTTGAAGTATATTGCCAAAACAACAAAAGCAAAAACAAAACATATCTCCATTTTTGTTGATTTTTATTCTTATAGGTCATTGGAGCATGGCAGCTTTCCATGTTATATTGTGTGAAATTTCATGAATGGACCAACAAAAATGCTCCATAATTGCATGAAATGAAACTTCTTTACCTTAACTCACATTCAAAGTTAAGAACATTTTTGCCTTCTCCTCTAAAGTTACTTTTTTTGAGATATGTGTTTTTGGAAAGCAATGACATTAATGTAACGTTTCTGTTGGCCCATACACTTCGTTCAGGCAATGTAAAGGGGAGCAGACATTTTCGAAAGGCCAGAAAAAAATCAGAAAAAGATGTTACGAGTTGTGAAGTTTTGAAATGAAAGCGGATCTTTGTTTAACTTTGCACATATCAAATTGTGATGGTATCTAAAATAGAAGAGCCAAAGGTCAGTTCAGTCTAGTGTCCGGTTTTATAAGACTGGAGTCAATCAGGCAGAGAGATATTTTGGTCTTTTTAGATTGAGGTTACCCGTAGAAGCCCTTGAGATTGTTCAAGTTGGAGTCTTTTCTCTTTTGACGCCTTCTGGTACGTGATTTGTGGTAAAACCCACAGTGAAAACTGTGCTGATAGTGGAGTCCCAACCTCAGCTCTTGCCCTTGCCGGCGCACTCACTTTTTTCCCTCCGCACGCCTGGCTGGCTGCTTCATTCGCAGGCCCGGCCGCCATCTTGGATCTGTATTTATTAAGATTAATCGCAGAAGTCGGGGGCCCCGGTGTGCACGCCATACGTTTTATAGAGACGCACTCTAATCCTGAGAGGGAGCGGATGAGTGGCTCTTAAAATGGGCATTTACCTCAGAAATTGGTGTCTCTGCTTCATGTTGCATGCATCTAGTTTGCATACAAATAAAGAATTACACTTGTCACGCGGCAGGTACAATCAATGAAAGGCCCAGCTGTCTTAATCCCGTCCCATCAGCCGGCTCCGGCACGCTCTCTCTCTCTCTCTTTCTCTTTTTCTCTCCCTGCTTTGGAGCGAGATAAAGTGTTTTTCAGCGCTGCTAATAATTACTCATCATCTCCACCCGTCATATCGCGAGGCTCCTTACACGTCTCCCAATTTTACCCGACGATTACTACAATTAAGACGGGCGCCGCGTCCGCCAAGACGGAAAAAAAGCCCGTCTGGGCGAGCCTCTCTCGAACTCCTCGTCCATATGGCGCCCGGGTGGAGGAGACATAAGGATAGTTTAAGGAAATCACGTTCTCCTCTCCACTTTAATCTGTCATTTGCCACGAGGTGTCTCTACTAATGAAGCGGATTTAGCGGCTGGTGCTGAAGTGCGAAGCGAGAGCAGGGGCCCAATCATCGGAGGCTCGATGAGTTTGTTTTGTTCTGAACGTGGCCCCCTCTCAGCTCAGCCGGCCTCATGCTGGGAATATGATTAGCGGTGAATGGTGTTTGAGAAGCATTTCAATGTAAATTTCGAAGCGCAGCTACGCTAAGTGTAATTGACTCCTCTCTCTCTTTCTTTTTTCCCCCCTCTCTCTCTCTTCTTCGCCGAGATGTAAGAGACTCCAGGTTAAACGGAAACTATTAAAGCTCAAAAGCGATCCCCGAGCTTGCTTTCATGACAAATGTGGGGCGTTATTATTACAAGTGTTCAACTGTTCTGCCCGTGGACGTGAACCGTTTAAAAACGGGGGGCTCATATTATTATTATTATTATTATCAACCTCTCAATATCTGGAGTGGGGCACATGCACTATATCAGCAGCAGAAACCCAGGCGAGGTGAGCTGGCTGGAGGTGCTAATGTCATTCTAAACTGTAAAGCAATTATTCTGTTAGTTCTAGCCTCAGGTTATGAATACATTGAAGAGTGTGGGGGCCCAATAGATGTAGCTACTTCAAAAAGCTGAGAGAAAGAAGATGAATTTTAATGCATGGGTAATTGCTCGACATGAATGCATTTCTAATAAATTTTCTTGTATATTAGATTGAGAAGGAAGCGGAATAGATTTGTGTTTGCCAGGTTGAAACGGAGGGGGAGAGGAATGGAGAAAGAGGAAAGGGAGTGATTAATTCACCAGTAAAACGGGCAGGTTACTTCTATATGATGGCAATAAAGATCATTTGATCAAGCATAAGCGAATGTATAGCATCTAATCAGATTCCCATTCCTCTGTTTTGTACGGAGGATAATGGACGACACTGTTTTCCAATTGGAGAGAATAAAGAGAGCGGACTGGAAGGTCCCTTTAGCAATCTCCTCCTTCATCACATGACTGACTCCTGATATTGCCTTTATTCTCTTGCCCTATCTTTGTATATAAATGCGTTCGCTTGATGCCCCTCAGCCTGGATTGAGTGTGCAAATTTTGATGTTATCTAAAATTAGGGAGGTAAACTTCAATTCGGTCGTGTTCTCGCTAAGAGCTTACATATGTAGCCGGCACGTTATTAGTGTACGTCAAAAGCAATACACGTTCGCCATATTGGTTTTCTGTCCCAACTACAATTACCCATCAAACCATAGCCATTGCAGATTCCCTAGAACAGGAGGGAGGAGGAGTTTAGGGGAGGGGGGAGGGTTGCGGGAGGCACAGTGGAAATCAATATCAGGTTAGTATTATCAACTCTATGCTGAAGTGGCAGAGAGAACAGGACTGTGACGCCTTCACCTTATTGCGAACACGCGCTTTACATTCCTCCCTCCTTATTACCCAGGCCTGTCTGGACCCTAATGCCGCCGCACCCTCGCACGCACACTCCCTCGCACACTCTCATTGAGAATCCGTGTAAGGGTCAATTGCTGCTTTGCGCAGAGCCGGCTGTGACCCGGCGGGTTTCGCCGCCTGGAGCAGACGGCTGCCGTAACTATGATAAATCACTTGGCACTTTCATTTACATGCCGCTGAACTCCACATTTGGGTCCATTAAAAGCCCAAAATCAAATATTTATGTTGTTTATTGGAACTGCTAGAATCCATCTCTCTTTGGCAATCGGCTCGCCGCGAAGGCCCCTGGTGTTGAAGGTTTACCTGAATTAGAAAAAGCGACCTCCACCACCCCCTCCCCCTTCACCCCTCACCATCATGCTTTTGTGCCTTTACCTCTTTTCTAGAGCCTGCATTTCCACAACAACTGTTTTGGATGCTTTTGTTTTCAGCTGAGGCTTAATGGAGATGTGAGTGTGGTTTTGAAGCCCAGCAAAGGCAAGAACACAATGGTATTTGGAACAAAAGGTCTGGACACAGTGCAGGGGAAAAAAGGCTGGGCCTGGTTCTGCTGCTTTATTGGTAATGGATAGTTTAAAGCATTTACTGGAACGAGATTTCCTGTCCAGATATTGCTCTCCACAGAGAGAGAAAGCCAAGTGTAATTGAAACACATCATGTGGTGCAGGCCGCGGCTCTGCTGAGGGATTCCCAGTTTGGTGCGAGTCCACAGGACGCCCGGGCCGGAGCTCAGAGTTGGCCGGGCTCTGGTTAATGATAGCGGCCGCTCCCATGCTGGGCTTTAATAGATATTTGTATGATATCTGTTATTAGAGCTCGCCGGTGGTCAGCACCCACGAACTGAGTACAAAATAATCTCTCAACGTGTTATTAAGAAAAAGCCCTGGGCTCCTCGCCCGTCTCAGATGGGAAATTAAAGTGTTTTCTATTAGCCCAGGCACGAGTCATAGATCATATCAAAGCCAAATGAGGGGAATAAAAAAAATCTATATATAAAGAATAAAAAAAATTAGGGAATCAAAGAGTTGTGAACAAAGAAGAAAAGAGCAATGATAAGCGTGGCTTTTTCTTTTATGTCCCACATCAAAAACAAGGGGATGGTGATATGTGTCACCCACATGGGAGCAAAAGCAGGCAAACCACTCGGATTGTGGGAATCAAATTTGAAAAAAAGACGAGAAAAGAAAAAACGCACCACATTTTGACTCACTGAGAGCCTGCTGCTGATATTAACGTGAGTGTGGACCTCATTTATTAACCCGCTAAGACAAGGACTTATAACGGAAAAGCTTTGTAAACAAAAGATTAAAGTGGATCTAGCTTTGGAAAATGAAAGGAAAACAAGAGGAAAATAATCACACATCAGAAAGAGGGCTCCGCTCCGATTACAATCGCCACTGCTTACTGGAGTGGAAAAATGCTTAATTGAACTATTTCGCCACGTTGAAAGTTTTTTGCGCCGTTCTCGCCGAATCCAAACACACTGCCTGCTGAGTGTGCGTGTGTTTGTGTGTGTTTCGGCGTCTGAGTGATTGAATAGCGATGACTTACCGAAAGAGATTGCATTGTTTCCCTTTTTGACATTTCTATGATAAATAGCTCTCTCTCTCTCTCTCTCTCTTACTCACTCTCTCACTCTCTTACTCACACTCTCAAAGCGGATACTGACCTTTGGCAACCTCTCCGGGTCACCTGGATGTCTGGGGATGACCTTCTGCAGTCTCTGGAAGCCGTAGTCAATAGTGGGCTCGTTCAAAGCTAAACCGCAAAAACACACAAACAAGAAGCGCCATCCGTTAGTCTCGCCACAGCTTTATGACACATTTTGTTCACGCTGAACTGCAGTCTAACACAAACGTTATTGCGTTTATTCATCAAAATCTATGCACACATCAAATGTGAGCAGACGTGTCGGCATTTGAATAAAGAGCGATAACATCATTTTGTTTTACTGTGCACAATATTCACACAAGCAACACGATACAACTCAGTGTTGGAGGCATTTTTTTTTGTTTTCCACTCTTTTTTAAGGCAAACTGGCTGTAATTGATCAAATAAATTTTGAGAGCTTAGTGGATACATTATGAATGAGGGCATGTGAGAGTGCAATGGTAACACACACACACAAATACACACACGTAAACACACACATGCAGCAATCACGGTTGTCAGTGCTCTGAAGTCTGCATCAGTTCCTTCCTCCTGTACCGTTTGCTGGATTTATGGCAAACGGCCGATGATGACATATGTCTGGCTATTGCCCCCTCAGATTTATCCCCCTCTCTCTCTCCTTTTCTCTCTCTTTCCCTCTCCTCCATACTGCTCCAGTGCAAACCAGGCAGGAGGAGCACTTCATCTTACAAAGCTTTAATAATCTGTGAATGGCTGACTACAAACTGATGTAGGGCGCCATCATTCCACAGCTGTGTTGGGCCGGCCTCATGAAATTGCTGGCCACAAATAGTAATTAATCTTTTCTCTCTCTCTCTCTCTCTCTCTCTCTCTCTCTTACTTTCTCTCTCTCTCTCTCTTCCTTTCCTTCTCTCTTTTCCTTCTCATACTCACATACACCCACATACGTGCACCGCCCCCTTCTGAAATTGTAATTTTGAGTATGAACGGCACGGGTTATAAATCAGAAGGCCAGCGCCGCTCCATATACAAGTGCATGAATCATAATCTCAACTCGCTGCGACTGCACACATTGTGTTTAACAAGCTTTAGAGGAACTGGCGGAGGTCTATTACAGCCCTCCTCCGCTGAAAGAAAGAATGGAAGGAGATAGAGACAGAGAAAATGGAACAAGAAGAAGAAAAAAAGACTTGCACTGGATGAATGTGTAGCCTGAGCAGACTGAAGTATTACTGGCAATAAATGTAGATATCACTGTCAAATACAGCCAACAATGCAGTCCTGCAGTTCAACAGGCCTAAGGGTTTGTTTAAGCGATATCTCAAATGTAGCCGAGAAGGTGTCCAAAGTTTGCTTCTTTAGCCTTGCACTGGTACACAGCTAGTGTAGATGAAAAATAGATAAATAATAGAGAATGGTTAGGCAAAGAGAAGAAGCATCATGCAAACCGTGTGACTAAATCATGAAATCTGAAATAGAAGTGCTTATATGATTCTGACGCTATACTGCATGCACTCTCAGAAAAAAAAGGTGTGAAACTGTCACTGGGGCAGTACCCCTCTTGTCACTTGGGTGGTACCCTCAAGGGTACATCTCAGTACTTTTACTCAGGGAACACAATTGTACCATAATCAATTGAAATTATATTTTATTGTTCTGTTTTAAAACATTAGGTTATGAATATAAAAGGTACAAATATGTACTTTTCCACTGGGAAAAAGTTATTTAAGGTACACAACTGGACCTTAAAACTACTATTGCACACTATTGAGATTCATGAGTGTGGAGAACAGTTTAAAGGTATAAAGAACCTTCACATGATGTAAAGGTTCTTCCTTCCTTTTACAATACATAAAGCAGTGGTCACCAACCCTGGTGTTGGAGACCATCTGCAGAGTTTACGTCCAACCTGTAACTAAAACACTGCCTCCTGCTTACCAAACACTACTGCGTCTGATCCAGCCAATCAAGAACTTCGGAAGAAGATTATTAGCTGGAGCGGGTGTGGCAGACTTTAGTTGGAGCTTGACTCCACAGGAAGCTAGATCTCTGGGCCTGGAGTTGATGACCACTGATGTAGAGATTCTTTAAACTTTAAAAATGTTCTTCACACTCACACATCACATTTCTCGAAAGAATTATCTATTCAAAGGACTCTTCGTTTCTTCTCTAGCATGAGAAACCTTTCCAGCACTTTTATATTTAAGAATGTAATAGTAATTTGAAGCCTGAAATTTGTCAGTTCATCTATTTGCATGTTGCAGATTGGTGGACAGTTTTCATTACTTGTTACCTACACAAGCCTCATAGCTCCAGTGTAAAACTCCAACCATGTCTTGGCTGATGAGCTACATTTGGAGTAACAGGGAAATTCCACAAACCTGCTTTTTTACCTGCTTTACCATTCATAACTCTGTGTGCTATATAGTGATCAGCTCTGCCTAGTACGCTGAGTAAATGAGTATATTATAGCGGCCCTGTGACAGGCGGAGAGCGGCTGAAACTGAAAGAGACAAGAACTTCCTCAAAATAATTGGTCGACTTTATGATGAAGTGGCACAATTACGTCTAAGTGCGGGGGCTCGTGATCGATATTCGCGGGAGCTGTGTTTGGCGAGTGTAAGAGCAGCGTGTGCGAGTGTCACCCTGTGACTGCCAGCCTGACAGGCGTGATGCTATTTGACGGGCCATCATGCATGGCTGAAGACAAAGTGCAGCATAGCAATGTGAAATAAGATGCTGCCTTGTTAATAAAGCATTGATCGGCCATATTGATTTTACATGACACGACTTCTCACAAGGATGTAACTCTCTCAGTGTCTCTCTCTCTCACTCTGTGTCCTCCTGCATTCCTTAATTGTTACCTTGTTCTTCTCCTTCTTCTTCCTTTCTCCTACACATGAAAGATCAAAAGTGCTAGGCAAATTGTCTCTGTTGTGGTGAAAAGTACAGCGTTTAATCTAAACTTCTACATGAAAATCGTGAATTATCAGTGCTGCATTTTTTGAATATGTAAAAAAGTGACCTAATTATATATTAGTCTTCTGCATCTTTAATACAGTGATAGGAAACATGGTGGCACGCAGAAAGTGCTGATTCTACATGCTGACACATGCTCATTATGTAACTCCTCTGGTCAAATTCTCAGTATAGATGACTAGCAAGATGCTCTGTTAGATATAGTTAAACACAACAAGATTTTATTCCCAGTAATTGAGGACAGGGCTTTCATATCAGAGTGACGGTGCAATGTTTGTGTATGTGAGTGTGTGGCAGTGTCCAAACTGCAATTACAGGTGCACACACAGTGAGCAGGTTTGTATTACATATGCACACACATACACGCACTCAGTATGAGCGTTTGATTGTGACAGTGGCTGCAGTTTAATAGATGCATTCTGATGGAAACAAATGCTCATCACTTATTGATCTGATGCTAATGACACAGAGGAGGTCACAGAATCCTTCATTAACACACAGCCCTCGCCACCTGCACACTGCAGCACACACACATGGAGCCAGCAGACATCACTGTGGCCCATAATGCAATATGAATAACAGCTGAGGTGAATATGTGTTTTGGATTAGAGAAAAACAATGAACAATCAAGTAAAAACAGAAGACAGTAAATTAGTAAGCTTTTATGAGGACCTTAGATAGATAGATAGATAGATAGATAGATAGATAGATAGATAGACTGAGTAATACTAGCTTAAAGCAGACAGATTCACACCCTCCTCCATCTCTTCTTTCTTTCTTTCTTTCTTTCTTTCTTTCTTTCTTTCTTTCTTTCTCTCTGTTCTTCTAGTGTAGAAGTGTAAACCATGGCAAGCATTCTCATACCCCACTCTCTATCTCTCTCTGCCTCACACATACACACACTCTACATTCAGGTAAGCATTTGTGGTCTATAGCTGAATCGGGCCGGAGGCTGACCCCTCCCCCTTGGCTCTGCGCCAGCCCCCCTGCCCTGGGTTCGGCCAATCAATAGCACTTTCCTGTTTTGGAGGCGGGTAATTATGAGGTGGAGAGAGTGGCTGACCTCTCACCTGTCCCGCATTACTTTGGTGATATTAAGATAAATTGCCTGATTTTGGGTAAACATATGCTGCAATTCAGCCTGTCAGCGAGGGTTTGCTCAAAGATAATTTGTATTGATCTATCCGCTTCTTCTCCAATGCAGCTCACTGACCTCACGGATAATGAGAGAGAGAGAGAGAGAGAAAGAGAGGGAGAGAGTGGGAGAGGGAGAGAGAAAAGAGAGAGAGCAGGACTGGCCATTGCCATGGACACCATTGCTTCAGGGGGCTGCGAGTAAGTGACTGTGTCTGATTGGGGGACTGGCGTCTGTCAGTGGCCATGTGTTTTGCTTACATCTTCATTTGTCACCTGTTTTTTGTTTCATTTGGCAAAAAAAAGAATTGTTAATTCAAGGTAAAAGCTATGACTTTAATTTATTTACACATGAAAATAAATGCGATAACAGCATTGAGAAATCATATCAATATAAGAATAGAGTAGATTAAAAGACAGAAACAAGAGTTCACAGATTTTTCCTTCTCCTATAAAGTTACCATTACAGAGATACGAGGTTTTGACGACAGCGAAGATAAGTGAGCATGTTAAATCAAATGGAGCCTCCCAGCACTCTTATGACTTCCAGAGCTCCTGCAGACAGAAGAATCGTGTTTCCTAATGAGGCAGCGATGCTTTTCTGCTTGGTGGAAAAGAGGAAAGAACAGAAGAGCGCTGCCTTTGACAGATGACAAATCTGCCTCGTCATATTTAGATGTTTTGTTTTCCACCCCTCATTTGTAGAGGAGAATGTTAAGCACAATTTGGTTACTGAGAACAGGCTTCTTTTCAAGTGTGGAGGAGGGGACGGGGCATGAGCATGTGTGTGTGAATGTGAGTGTATGTGTGTGCTCTGGGGGCGTCTGAGCATGTGTGTGTGAGTGTATGTTCAGTAGAGTGTGTGTATGGGTGTCTGCATGTTTAGTATTACTTCTTGTAGAGGTTCACTACCCAGAGGTTCACTACCCAGTGGTTCAGGGATGATTTTCAACTTTTTAACTATGATCTAGTACACAAAAATTAGGTACTAAACTTTTACTATGGTTGTGCCC